ACTAATCTCATGCCTTAGACTTGTTAACTGGCAAAGATATCACTTTGAGGACTGAGATGTGCCTGGCCCAAGACATGGTATTTTCAAGCACCTCATATATGGAGGAAAGTTAAACAATGAATGAGGAAGGTCAGAGAAGAATTATGAATTAAGAATTATCATGTTCATTATGATATTGGCAAAAAATATTGAATTGACCATGCACTCTCAGGAAAAATAACAAACCTGTCTTAGAAGAAACAGTGCCAATTTGATCCTTGGGAGTGAGTATACTAAGACTTTGTCTTTGGTATTATCAGCAGAGGGTCAGCTAAAGTGAGGGTAAACAGAGAAACAATTGAGAGAGTGGTGCAGGCAGTGTCTTGTTCAGTTATACATAATGTCACTATGAGTCTGAACCAACTGCACAGCATCTAGCAGAAACGTGAAGCATCCCAGGAATATTTAGGCGTAATACAGCGTTTCTGCAACCACTCCCAAAATTATTCTGAGATCCCAAAGACATAGTCCCCATTGCCCACACTAACAAGGTCCTGAGGGAGAAAGCACCCTGAGGATTCATTATGAAACTGAGTTTGAAGATAGTTTCTCCCTCTTCCCTCTCTAACTAGGTGTTCCTTCTCATCTCCAAGCCTAAAAAAGGTCTGGGGATTGGTGTGTTTTTACTCAAAGCCCTTGCTTGGGGTTTACAACAGGGAAAGAAAATATCTCCCTTGAGCAAACCACATCAAGTCCCACCTGCAGCACTAGCTTCCTGGATGACTATGGGATATGGAGAAGTCCTCCAAGGCCCAGAGGTCCCACCACAAAATGGAGCTTACATCACCTATCCCAATTATCTGCATCTAACAGCCGGCAGCCGGTCTTCTTGAGAGTGTCTAAAATGTCAGAAAGGTGAGACATCATTTCAGAATTGAGGAAGTGATGGTGTTGTTTACCTTCCATTTTCCTTGTTTCTCTCCCCATCCTTCTCCTGTTTCCTGGGAGGCTAATTTCTGATGCCTCCAGGGGATACCATGGCAGGGAAGAGAGCCCTAGGATACAGAAGGTAACAGCAGATGCCCCCATCCGGTTTTCTTATATATCCAGTTCCTTACTTGCTTTCCAGGTGGGTACCTGGTTCTGAATTGCTCCTCGTTTTCTCTCCTAAAGAAATCTCACTGACTTCTAGGCCCGTTTCAGGGTAAGTACCCTCATGGGTTCTTCTGCTCAAATCACAGAAGGGGTTTCTATTGCCATTGATTCAAACCCGACTTTCTATGTGGTGCATCTGATACTTCTGAAGGGGGCAGTATTTATTGGACGGGTTGGGATGACTGCCAGGTCTACCAAAGGTCCTGACTTCTTCCCAGGTCCTCTTTGCCAAAGTTTCTCCATCTTCAATGGAGCCCCTTCTCTGTTACTCTCTGGGGTGAGTATGAAGGAATTCACTGAGTCCACTTCCTGCCCAGCACCCAGTCCGTAGGAAGTCTAGAACCCTCAGGCTGAGAATCGTTGAGTCTTATGAGGCCTTTTTAATATTAAAATCATGAAGGGAGTAGCTGGAGTGATAGAGCAGGGCTGTCATGGTTTCGGAAGATGAGTCGAGGGTCTTTTCAACCACTGAGCGTGGTAATACAGGAGGGCCTATTCTACGGAGAGCACCTTGATGTCTCTATGGGATCAGAGTCCATCCTAGAATTCCACAAATTCTAAGCAAGCTGTATGTGCAGGCATGTGGCGTTCTGACAACAGCATTTCATTGCTCTCCTGTCTGTAAGGGTCATCCCACCTGAAGTTTTTTTTTCTTTTAGCCAGATTAAATGGGAAAAAATTAAGTATGTAAATTACATTATTAGCTATTCCTCTCCATGAAAACAAAATACTTGGTTCTTGTAGCAGCCTTACACCCTGAACATGTCTTTACTGTAACCTTAGATGATGGTAATCCATTAAAATCTATCCCAGATTTGAATGTGTTCAGAAAATCTTCCATGACAACTCCATCTCAGAGAAGGATACCTCCTTTCTCTGAGGTCCTGTGGATAGTTTACCATCTGCTTACTAATCTAGGCATATTGAGGACCTTCTATGATCCTGGAATCAACTCTGTGGCAGTGAATTTGGGGTTTCTTTTTTGAGTTTGACAATGATCTTTGGTGGCTCTGTGGGTTAACCAAGGTTGGCATTTCAAACCCAGCAGCCACTGCATGGGAGAAAGAAAAGGCTATCTGTCATAGAAAGAATGACAGTCTCAGAAACCCCAAACAGGAGGCTATGAGTTGCAAAGTAAAGTGTCAGGGAAAGGATTACTGTAGAAAAACTTCATCAAACTTTTATTCGGTCTTCAATGGCTTATGGTGAAGTAGAGGATATAGAGTCTACATGTGAATGACTGTCAGAGAGTAAACATAACAAGCTCCATGAAATACTGGGCAGTGAATGTTTGGGCAAGTGATAGAGATCATTGTGAAATGGGGACGTTTCAAGGTTGACCTAATTCAGCAGCCAGCATTTAAGTCATTTCCTGAAACACTTGGGCATGAGAAGATGACGAATAGAAAAGAAAGGAGGTAGGTGGAGAAAGCTCTTGCATAATCACTCACCCACTGCCATTGAGTTCGTTCTGATTCATGGTGGCCCTAAACAGGGTTTCTGAGCTGGGAATCTTTACAGAAGGGAGAATGCCTCATCTCCCTTCTGTGAAGCTGCTAGTTGGTTTGAACTGGTGACATTGTAGTTAGTATCCCAGTGCATAACACACAGCATCACCAGGGCTCCTTTGCATAAACAAACAGGTGGAAAACCCAAGTGTTTCCATGTAACCTTGGCTGGCATTAAAATGAACCCAAGGTGGACACTAGAGATTGCTATATTGCTTTTTAAAATAGAATATTTTAAAAATTCTTATCTACCCATTGTTTTCTCTGAGTGCAAAGCACTTACCAGTTACTAATTTCATCAGTGAGAATGAGGCTTGACTTCAATGCCCAACAAACTCCCAAGGTCATGGGACTTTGGAATGTAAAGAAGACCGAGAAGGTCACCATCGAATTCCTCTTCCCCAGCTGTCCCCCCTGCAGCTCCCCATGACCTAAGCAATGAAGACCTTCTGTGGGAGGCTGGTCATTGATTTAGCCTCAAACAAAATTGGATCCACCTTCTGCTTTAACACAAGGTCCAAAGAGGAGCATATTACCCACTGAAAGCTGTGGCTAGGACTGTAGTTACTGCCTGAATGACACACCTGTGTGGAGGTGTTAGTGGAGGAAAAGTTTGAATCATCTGGAAGGGAAGTTTGCCTTTTAATTCCAGTAAAGAGAAAAGCAATGAAGAGGGCAAGCGGGAGCGAGCATCAAGTCCAGTGGTTCTCAACCTTCCTAATCCCCTGACCCTTTCATACAGTTCCTCATGTTGTGGTGACCCCCCAACCATAACATTATTTTCGTTGCTACTTCATCACTGTCATTTTGCTACTGTTATGAATTGGGTGACCCCTGTGAAAGGGTTGTTTGACCCCACAAGGGGGTTGAGACCCACAGATTGAGAACCGCTGACTAGCCAGCCAGGGTGCAAAGATGTGTTAGGGGTTATAGGTTTTTTTACTTATGTATCTATCCTTTCACTTGCTTCAAGAATTTTTCAGTCATTTACATTGTAAATTATTTTAATAGGATTTCAAAATATGTTTTAGTCATACTTCTGAAATGTGTCTGATCTCTGCAACCTCCTTAACCAGCCTTGCCCCTGAATTTCACACCCTGCTCAGGACAAAATCACCTTTCCTTTCTGTGAGAGTTCCAGAAGTGAATGACTGCCTCCCATTCTGTTTTGTGCAAGGGAATATCATTAATTCTTTTTTTAAAAACCCCAAAAAAAGAAGAAATAAAAGCTCTAACTCTGCTTATCCAATTGGTGACATAGAAATATATTTCTGTGAATTACTATTTAATTAATTAATAATATTAATGTAATTAATATTTCTATGAATATATATTAATCTGGAGCATGATCTACAACCAGAAGGACGTAATTCAATGTGTATGTCCATGAAACACCTCTCCTTGGATCCATGCCTTAGTCAAAGGTACTTGGTAGGCTGTTTCATCATCCAGTTGGTTCCAATTTGTAGTGGTCCTTTAGGGTAGAGTAGAACTGTAATCTTTATAAAAGATTACTAATCTTTCTCCCAAGAAGCAGCTGGTGGTTTTGAACCACTGACTTTGTGGTTAGCAGCTGAACTTTTTAAACCACCGTGTCACAGGAGTTCCTTTGTGGAAGGCAAGTGCCTGTGAAATGCACAAATCAAACTGCATCAAGCAGCAATCAACCTACAAGTAGTAGCTACAATTCTTATTTTAGAGGGTGGAAGACAATATAAACTGAGTAATTTTTAAAGTAGGTGCTGTGGAAAGGACACTGTAAAGACTCGGTTAACAAGAGCACTAGTGACTACGTGAAGAGGGATTTTTTAATGTGTTCTTCAGAGCCTGTGTCTGACCCCAGAGAAATGTCCTGTGGTGCTCCTGCTCAGAGCTACACTCTTGGTTCCTTGTTTATTCCTGCTCTATCGTTAGCTGCTCTTCACTATTTGTGTAGCCTAGAAATCAAATTTATGGCAACAGATGCTTTCTTTTCTCTGTGGAAATACAGTATAACTGATTTTTCTGTTTTGAAATCTGCATGTTGGTTTGGATAATCCATTTCTCAAGGAAGAAATGGAGACACTCTGTCTTGATCTTGCTATATTTACAAAAAAGGAGAGTGTTAGTTGTCTAATTTCATTTGCCCCCAGTTCTGCCAATTTCCAACATAAGCTGGGAAAGGGACGAGTAATGCTTACTCTGGCTATTTCAGCTGATATTAGGGACAAAATATTGAATGGGATAGAGGAGGTGTGGCCTGGGAAGTGAGGAAATAGTCATTCTGTCGGCTAAAAACTTACCATAGAGGTTTCACAAAGCAGATTTAAAATATTTGTGCTGAATAAGTTCGGTGGACTGATGCCTCTACACTTGCACATCTCCTTGCAGGGGCTCATGGAGTCAGACGCTGGGACCAACAGGACAACTCTGACTGAGTTCATCCTGCTGGGCCTTGTGCAATCAGAAAACCTGCAGCCACTGGTCTTTGTTCTCTTCCTCTTGGCCTACTTGGTCACCGTGGGGGGCAACCTCAGCATCCTGGCAGCCATCTTGATGGAGCCCAAACTCCACACCCCCATGTACTTCTTCCTAGGGAACCTGTCGGTGCTGGATGTTGGGTGCATCACTGTCACTGTTCCTCCAATGTTGGGTCGTCTCCTGTCCCACAGGCGTACAATTTCCTATGAAGCCTGCCTCACACAGCTCTTCTTCTTCCACCTGCTGGCGGGGATGGACTGCTTCCTGTTGACAGCCATGGCCTATGACCGCTTCCTGGCCATCTGTCGGCCCCTCACCTATAGCACCCGCATGAGCAAGGAAGTCCAGAGGACATTGGTGGCCGTATCTGGGATTTGTGCCTTGAGCAACGCACTGATGCACACGATTTCCCTATCTATGCTCAACTTCTGTGGTGCCAATGAGGTCAATCACTTCTACTGTGACCTCCCACAGCTCTTCCCCCTCTCCTGCTCCAGAACCCAATCCAACGAGCTGGTGCTCTTTGTTGCTGGTTTCATCATGGCAGGCACTTTTCCTGTTCTCATCATCGTCTCCTACATCCACGTGGCAGCTGCAGTCCTCCGAATCCGTTCAGTGGAGGGAAGGAAAAAGGCTTTCTCCACATGCGGCTCCCACCTCACTGTCGTTTGCATCTTCTATGGGACAGGTATCTTCAACTACATGCGTCTGAGTTCAGTGGAAGCTTCGGACAAGGATAAAGGGGTGGGGGTTTTCAACACTGTCATCAACCCCATGCTGAACCCACTCATCTACAGCCTCAGAAACCCTGATGTTCAGGGTGCTCTGTGGCGAATACTTGTGAGGAAGCGACCCCTGACTTGAGGAATGATAGGAGGGGTCCTCCTTTCCTGCCTCTCTTTTGGACTAGAATACCCAGAAAATTTGTTCATAGATTTGTTTTTCTTATCTTCGGGTTCATGAAGGCTGTGTTAAGTCATTGTTCTTCGAGGAAACTCTACCTAGTTCATGCACTGACTCTTTCAACAAATATTTATTAAAGTACTCCTGTGACCCAGACATGCTTTAAGAGCACTGGTTATAGAGATGTGAGCAAAACACACAGAAATCTCAGCATTCACACAGCTCACATCCTAGTAAGGAAAAACAATATAACTACAATAAGCAGCATCAAGTATGGCATGGCACATGGTGATAAGAGAGAAATCAAGTAAGATGGGGGTATGGCTTCTGCTAAGCCAGTCCTTTGGTCTCCTATCTATCTTGTTTCTCCTGTGCTCATTTTCTGGTTAGAGGTGAAGACTTGGAATTTGGCTAGAGGTGAAGGCCTGGTCAGGAATGTCCTATAAGGAAGGACCATTTGCTCAGTCACAGACTAAGCTCTAAGAATATCACTGCAAAGTTTCCTCCTGGTGAGGCATGATAGTCCCTCCAGACCAAGTTACAGTGGCAAGGTTTATTTTATTTCACTCTCTGCTTTTTAGCCAGAGGACTATGAGTCCTTCTCTTCACTACGATCCAAGAATATCACAAGATATTTTGTTGAAATATTGTCTATAGAGGGTTAGAAACCACTCTACTCACTGCCATCGACCCTGTAGGACAGAAAATAGTTGCTCAGTCTAGTTTCCAAGATTGTACATCTTTACAGGAGACTACTTCACCTTATGTCATGAGATGCTGGTGGCTTTGAACTCCAAATCTTAGAACTGGCAGTCCAATGCTGAACACATTGTACCCCTTGGGGTCCTTTAGGGAAACATTAACACACACTAAATAAATCCTACATTAGTTTTGCATATCATGTCTTGATATCAAAAGAGAATGGCCCATGTCTATTAGCTTCCAGATTGGTCTCTTTTGTTTGATACATCACTTTCTTCATATCCATGACCTCAGAATTTTTGATGACTTTATGTTCCCAACTTCCAAGGTGAAAAAGCAAATATTCTTAAATTTACTGCCTGGAATTGATGACTCTCTAAAATTCCTATAACAGTAAGTATGCACCAATCTAGCATTTGATCATGATGTCTACCCAGCCATCAGTTCATATATTCTTGACATGTGTGTTCTCTTCAAATGACCCTAGAATGTATTTACAATACTTTGGTCCCTGTACTGTATCTGTGGAATTGGAATGGAAATTTGTGTGTGAGTGTGTGGGATTTGGGAATGTTTACAGTGCAAATTCATTTTCCACTCAACAATTCATACGCATGTTGTTTTGTGACATCAATTGCAATCCCCTCACTGTCAAGGCATTCTTCCCACTTCCTCCCTGTTTATTATTTCTAATCACGTATCTGGGCAAGTGCTCTTCTTTTGATCTCCTAGCGTTGATTGCTCTAAGTTGTGTGTATCTCTCTGGTGTTATTGTTCATCTTAAAGTTCTGTCTATGTTTTGCTGAAAGTTGAGCCTGCAGGTAAGTTCTATTCCTGGTTTGCTGGGTTTCCACCAAACTGGTTCCACCAGTCTCTAACACACCTGTAAGCCTGGCCTTTTTAAAAAATATATTATTTTGATTTGAAATTTTCCTCCACATTTCTCCTGTGCTCCCTTTCAGAGAGGAAGGCAGCAGTAGCCAGGCACCATCCAGGTTATAAAGGATGGGGTTTACATGATCCATTAGTCCTTTGGACTCATTGTTTCCTTATGTTTCTTTTCTCCCTGACTTTTCTTGATCTGGTTGGGAAGAGACCAAGAATTGCCCCTTAGATGGACACTCACAAAATTTCAAGACCTCAGTTTCTCTTCACAAAGTAGGTTAGAAAGCATTGTCTTTGTGAATGATGTCATGCCAGTTGATGTTGGAGTCCCCAGAGAATATGGTCCTGGGTCCAGAGGCTCAGTGTCTTAGTCCTCAAGGTGTTTGACTATAGCTAAGAATTTTTCATAACTGTGCCCCTGTGTGCTCTACTGTACTCATAGATGTTCACAGCACATATGAATATAGTATGTAGAGATTGCCTCAGTTAAATCTATGTGGATTGGTTCGTGTACTCCTACCAGCCTTCCTATCCTTGTTCAGTTTGAGAGCCTCTCCATGGATCAACTTGTTATTACTGCTAACACAGGATTGGGTGTACTCTTGGACTCCGCTTACTGTCTTTCTTTGCCTTGACCATTTTGTCTGACCTCCCCTTTGTTGTAGATTGCCTCTCCCTTCACCCAAGTTAATATGTATCTATCTGCCTTCTAGTTAGTGATTTTCCATCCATCCCCCTTCAGTCCCTAAGAACCTTCCAAGAATGCTTCTTTCTGTGTGGAAACATTTTCCTGACATTCCCCAGCAGAGTCTTATACAATATTTGTTCTTTGGGGATTGACTATTTCCACTCAGCATAATGTCCTGCAGATCCATCCGCATTATGAAGCATTTCACAGATTCATCGTTGTTCTTTAATATTGTATAGTAGTCTATAGTGTGTGTATACCTCATGTGTTGGTGGCCACATAAGTTATTTCCATTTCTTTTGCTGTAGTGAGTAATGCTGCAAGGAACATGAGTGTGCATATATCTGTTCCCACCACAATTATTATTTCACCTGATAGGGAATTGCTGGATCATATATTTCTATGTCTAATTTTTAAGGAACCATATATATCCTAGGGTATTTTCGATATAGTGACACCATTTTAAAGCCCACCAGCTGTGGATGAGGGTTCCAGTCTCCCCACACACTTACCAGCATTTATTGATTTCTCTTAAGTTTTTTAATGTATACAAGGGTGTGGTGATATCTCGTTGCTGCATTACTTTGCATCTCTTTAAAAAGGAATGGTCACAAGCAGTTCTTCGTGTGCTTGATGGGCGACCCAAATGTCTGTGTGGGGAGGAGCGCTTCTTGTCATCTGCTTATTTTTAATTGGATCGATTGTCATTTTGCTGTTGCGGTGTTGAAATTATCTTAAAATTTCAGAGATTAGTCCATTTTTTGATATGTAATTTTTAAAATTTTCCCACAGTTATTGGATTCTCATTATTACTTTTTAAAAAAATTTAATTGGGGCTCCTACAGCTCTTATCACAATCCATACATATATCCATGTGTCAAGCACATTTGTACAAATGTTGCCACATCATTCTCAAAGTATTTTCTTTCTACTTGAACCCATAGTATCAGCTCCTCATTTTCCCCCCTCCCATTCCCTGCACCCTCCCTCCATCACGAACACTTGGTAATTTATAAATTATTATTATTTTTTTTTATGTCTTACACTGACTGATGTTTCCTTTAACCAGTTTTCTGTTGTCTGTCCCCCTGGGAGGGGGCTATATGTAGATCATTGTGATCGGTTCACCCTTTCTCCTCCCACCTTTTCCCTTATCCTCCTTGTATCGCTACTCTCATTATTAGTCCCAAGGGGTTTATCTGTCCTGGAGTCCCTGTGTTTCCAGCTCTTATCTGTACCCGTGTACATGTTCTGGTTTACGTGGAATTGTAAGGTAGAATTGAGGTTATGATAGTGCGGGGGTGGGGGAGGAAGCATTAAAGAACTAGAGGAAAGTTGTATGCTTCATCAGTGCTATACTGCACCCTGACTGGCTCATCTCTTTCTTTTGACCCTTCTGTAAAGGGTTGTCCAATGGTCTAAACATGGGCATTGGGTCTCCCTACTGCACTCTCTCTCATTCACATTGATATGATATTTTGTTCTGGGTCTTTGATGGTTGATACCTGATCCCATCAACACCTCATGATCACACAGGCTGGTGTGCTTCTTCCATGTGGACTTTGTTGCTTCTCAGCTAGATGGCTGCTTGTTTATTTTCAAGCATTTAAGACCCGAGACACTATATCTTTTGATAGCAGGGCACCATCAGCTTTCTCCACCACATTTGCTTATGCACCCACTTTGTCTTCAGCAATCATGTAGGGAAGCTTAGCATCATGGAATGCCACGGTATTAGAACAAAGTGTTCTTCCCTTGAGGGGATACTTGAGTATAGCCCCAATATCCGTCTGCTACCTAAATACTTAACATATAGTTATATGTACATAGATCTATTTCCCTCTGAATATATATATTTATATATATACATGTATATATATTTATATATATATACATGCCTGTATTTGGACCTCTATAAATGCCCATTTGCTTCCTAGTTCTTTCTTCTATATCCTTTTATTTTGTTTTTTGTCCCACTTTCATGTTTGGCCTTCATTCGGGTTTCAGTAATTGCTCCCTGTTACATTGACCTCAATCAAGCCCTACCAGGCATCCTATACCCCCTAGCCATGGATTTTTGATCATTTGTTGTTCCCTTGTCCCTGGGTGTGTTAACACCTACTTCCTTCCCCCACTTCCCCCTCTCCCGTGTTGCCCCAGAAACATCAGTCTTGTTTTCTCCTCTGGATGGTTTATCCTGCCTATCTTATCTGGATAGACATGCAGAGAAATAATAAGCACAAAACCAAGACACAGCAAAACCAAACAACAAAAGAAGAAGAAAAAAGAACCCGAAACAGCCAACACAAAAATTCAACGACACAAAAAAACAAAAGCCTATAAATAGTTCCAGGTCTGTTGTTGACCATTAGGAGTGTTTCCCAGTTCAGTCTGATCGGGTGCCATGCCATGGCCCCAAAGTCTATTTTTGGCATTCCCTAGGGACTTCATTGCTTTCTCCCCTTGCTGCTCTGTTGCACGCCCTTAGCATTTCACTCGGGTTTGGTGGGGTCAGATCGGGCACAATTCCCTCACTGTGCCTCCAGTGTTGTCCCTCTAAGCACTATGGGTCAGTGACAGCTGTCTTGTCTTGTGGGGGGCTGGCCCTATGGTCCTCCCTGTGCATTGGCTACTCTGAGCAGGAATATCATCCTTGGGGCTTGGTAGGTCAGGATATGTTCCACTC